CCATTATGGCAATCATGTCCTCCAGTTTACTTTCATTTTTCTCCAGAATTCCCAATGGCACGATGTGGGACTTTTGTTTGGCCTGTTCAGAATACATGTGTGGAATATGTTGTTGCACACAGTCTTTGAAGTATTTGTTGAAGAATGGAATGTGTTTCACTACTATCCTCGAAGAAATTGTGATCATGTCGTCTCGAAGTGAGGAGTGGTCTTCCTCACTGGGGAGAAACTCCTGGAGGGGGACGGAGAGTATGTCAGCCATGGGTTGGTCATTGGGTAGGTGTTGGACATTCACCCGGTCTGGAACTCCATATGCGTTCACAAAATGATGGTCCTTGTTGCTGTTTTGGGATGTTTTATGGCGGACCTTTTGATGTATGTCAATATTGTCGAATACTATGCTGTAAACCTGGACAACTGACACCTCCACTCTCCATGTGTGAGCCTTCGACTGTTGTTGCTTCAATGTCCATGTGTACACCTCCACTCTCCACGTGTGAGCCTTCGACTGATGTTGCTTCAATGTCCATGTGTACACCTCCACTCTCCACGTGTGAGCCTTCGACTGATGTTGCTTCAATCTCCGTGTGTGAGCCGACGCTTTCCAACATCTTCTTCCATCCCAGCACTCCTTTGTCATAGTGCACTGACAATTTGTCCACTGTCTGTAGTATTTTCTTGTGGCTGACAGCTAGACCGCATGTGTTCATTCGTTGGTATAGAACCTTGGAAGCATGGCATTTGAAAAGTCCCAGTCCTTGGATAACTTGCCAAGCAGACATTGTCCTGTTTCTGGCGTACAACAGGCAGGCTGCAGCTGTTATCATCATAGGGCGCCGTGTTCCCTCCTGCTTCAACCTCTTCTTTGTCCTTGCCTTGATTGTCACCTTTCTCCTGTGTGTTCTTGTCTTCTTAGTGTTGATCCTGGACTTGGACATTCTTGTTTTGATGGTTTCATTTGACTGATTTGCAATCACTTTCAAAACTCTTGTAATCAGTGGGGCTCTTTGCTGTAACTCTGCTCCTATGCTAGATGTGTTGATGCTTGGGAGTGATGTACTGTCACAGCTCCGGAGGATTGACGGGTTTGATGGCTGACACAGTTCTTTTGCCTCCCTGTTTATGTCAGACAGGATGTTGAGGATAATGAATGGTCTGATTTTTTTGTGACAACACACAGCATTCGCAACAGATGAAAAGTTTGATTTGAGAAGTGGTCTTACAATGTTCGACATGTGTGGTCCAAGTTTTGCGGTCATTTTTTGGCTCCTACTGACACCTATAAAAAAAAAGAGATACAGTCAGGAAAAGTTGTATGGCAAACAAAAAGTATACAAGAACCATTGGAACCATATAATTCAGGAAAAAACTCACTTACTCACACCTAGTTATTTTTTTTAAACTTATAAGGCAGCTATATCCCTGGAGAAGAAAAATTAAGGGTACTTCCAAATGTTACAAGTATGTATGAAATTAATCAAGTTGATCATGATACAAAAAAAGAAAGAAGGAAGATGAGGTGAAAACTACTTTCATTCCTCAACCTCTAATCTTGGAAGAGAATGCATGAACATTTTCTGACAACCTCCATATTCTTTACTAACTTTCCTTAACTGTTACATGATACAAGAGTAAGTTTGTACGAAGTTAAAAACCTGCTTGGTTTGTACTTTGTACAAAGTACAACTTACAAGTCTGTATGGTATACTGTGAAGACTTCAAATCAAAACATGCAATTTTTACATTGAGTCTATAATTGTTGCATAATGTTGATACATGCGTTTAAAATACTGACATGCCCTGATGCCATCCTCCTATCATTGGTCATTGAAGTTTAGAAATAGGGGAGTC